TGTATGTGTGTGTGTGTGTGTGTATGTGTGTGTGCATTCATGAACATGATAGTGAGAATTGTTCCATGGAATGTTGATTTGGGTATTATATATTTAAAAATCATAATAAAAATAGCATTCCAGGAGAGAGCACTGATGTATTTGCTAAGTGGCTCAAGATGAAGACCTCCTCCCAGGGCATATTGTAAAAGGCCTTGCTCTCCTAAGTCCATTGGTGATATTCTGCCATGAGTAGGATGCTGATTGCATGATTATAATTATCCTCCCATGTTCCCAGACTTTGTAGACTCTGAGCACATGGGACACAGAGAATTCAAAAAAAGTTCTTTTCGGCCTTCAGATTTGAAGGAGGGACCCTTGCGATTAGGCACTAAGGAGAGGAGACAGCTGAACTGAAGTCCCATGGGTCCCATTGGGTAAAACAGAACTTTAGAACAGTGTCACCTATGGTTAAAAGTTCAGACTGAAAGACAGGCAAACTTAGGTTCTAATGCTGACTCTGCCACTTACTGGTTATACTATTTTACATTCCCACTAGCAATGTATGAAGGCAGTAATAACCTTGGACTAGTTACTTTACCTTTCTTGGCCATAGCTTGCTTATCTGAATATTAGAGATAATAATACTGTCTACCTTAAGGTTATTGAGAGGCTTGAAGGAGAATAAATAAAAGAAAGCAGTTACCTTGACCAGCTGGACCCATGGTCAAGATGTAGACCTCCTCCACCTTTGGCAGTCTTCCTAGGAGAAGGAAGTTATATTTTGGGAACTAGGAACAGTTAGCCCTTATCCAAGGAATGTTTTCAGGTTCTGAGTTATCTGGGTTGATGAATGGAAAATACAAATGTTGGGAGGGGCTGGGAATGGCAGGAAGTTATCACAGATTCACTGGGAGGAAACCCACACTGGTGCCATACAAAAGTGCTCCTTGTGGTGTTCACAGAGGCTCTAGCTGGCCCTGTCATCCCTACTGCCCTTCCCTTCACCCTGTGGCTGAGATGAGATGTGCATTCCACACCCCCACAAGACCCCTTGGAGAAAGGAAGACCTGGATGATCTATGGGTGTTTTTATCCTCCACTATCTGGCTCAGTCTCATGGTGACTGCACAGAATCCCTCGGAGGCAGAATTTAGCCAAAGTTTTAGACACTTCAAATAAGATTAACTATTGGATTCTATTCTGAGAATAAGACCTCTCAAAAGGCCTTACTTCTCTTCTTTAAAGGAAACCCTTCCATCTCCTGAAAGAGTTGGCTATTAAATATTTTTAAATCACATTTTTAGGGACATTGTCCGCCAAAAAACTATGTAAAAGAAATTACAGTAGTAAATTTTAGAGCTAGAAGATTTTTAGAGCTGAGAAGATCCTATAGCCTAGTTGTTCTTTTAAAAATTAAAGCCACTGTAACTTTTTTTCAACTGAAGTGTTAATATGAAGCCAAAAACCTAAAACAGATCAAATCAGAGCTGTTTGGGTTGAAGTATATGTAGGGGATCCCAGATTTCCAATGGTTGGGTCTCTAGTTCACCTGAGAACCCAGTGAATCACTTTCTCAACATAGTTATGGAACACAGTTTGAAAATCCCTACACTAGCTTAGTTTCTCTATTTTAGAGGTGTGGAAATTGAGCATAGAGAAAGAACTAAACTTGACCAAAATCATAAATCGATCTTCTGACATGCAGTCTATTTTTCTGTTTGGCAGCATTAAAATGACCATGCTTTTAAAATTTTCAGGCTCTTTACTTCCATTCTACCCGATCCCTGGATTTGGTGCTGTCATTTACTATAAAATAAGGGATGAGTGGAATCTGGAATCCACAATCATCCTGGAACAAAACCAATGGGTTTGACTCTCTCTCACATTTTTTTGCATTTTAAATGTCTTTCAGGATGGTGTATATCATAGAACTTTGCACAGAATCATTTATTTCAGTGAACTAGCGTATAAAACTTGAAAATACAAGATAATATTTTTTGGTTTTTACTGTCATTTTTCAAAGTAATGTGGCACACTGCCATGACCCTAGTTCAGGTTTTATCATCTCAAGCCTTGACTACTGTGGCAGCCTCCTTAACTGAAATCCCTGCCTACCATCCATCTCCTACTCCCATCCCTCCCGGACACTGTTGCCAGATTAACCTTCTCAAAACACCTCTTTCATCATTTCACTCCTCCCTTCAATGGCTCCTCATTGCTTTATGGACCAATTCCAAACCTCCTGTCTAAAAATTAAAAGTCTCCAACGTCTGGCCCCAAACTACCTCTTGAACTCTTGACACTTTCAACGTGTTCCCTGTTCAGTCAGATAGGTTTAGCTCTGTGCCCAAGCTTACTTCTGCAGTGAACTGTTCTACCTTTGTTCTGTATATTTTCCTGTCTCCCATGCTTATCTCTGGGTCTCTAAACCCATCCAGGCCCCACCCATCTTCAAGACCTAGGTCACGAATTCTCCAGTATACCATAAGCATGCAACAATAGTTAGCATTCATTTTATAATCCATCACGTGTGTTTTAGTTTTATATTTTAATAAGTTATTTCATTACTATTTAACTTTCTAAACAGCTTTATTAGGTATAATTTAATATGGTAATATTCAATTTAGCATAATGTTTTCAAGATTTACCTTTGTTGTAGCATGTATCAGAACTACATTCCTTTTTATGACAGAATGATATTCCATTGTCTAGATATACCACATTTTGTTTATCCATTTACCATTGATAGACTTTCCCTTTTTTTCTATTATGAATAATGTTACTATGAACATTCGCATACAATATTTCGTGTGGATGTATGTTTTCTTTTCTCTTGGGTAGATACTTAGGAGTGAAATTTCTGGGTCATATGGTAAATTTATATTTAACTTTTTAAGAAACAAACTATTTTCCAAGAGGGCCATACTATTTTACATTCCCACCAGCAATTTGTGAAGGCTCTATTTTTCTGCATCCTCACCAACACTTATTATTGGCTGCCTTTTTTATTATGGCCATTCTAGTGGATATGAAATGGTATCTCATTGTGGTTTTGATTTCTGTATCCCTAATTTACTCTTTCATTTTAACAATGAATTTGGATTTTTTTCCCTTTATTTGATGACAGCTCCTTGAGATTAGGAACCATCTTGTGCACCTTTTTTCCATGATATCTAGCACCCCACCTTAGACAAAGTAGATATATAACAATTATCTGATGCTTAACATTTAAAAAAAAAACTTATTTATAAAGGAAGGAGAAAGAATTAGTGTTATTTCTGTGTGTGACATTTAAAATGTATTATTTAATTCCAACCTTGCAAAATAAGCATAAGAAGTGGAAACAGCCTCAGTTTAGGTAACTTGCCAAGTAGTAAAATGTCGAGCTAGCATTTGAACACAGGACTCTTTGACTCTGTAACTCTAAAGCCCAGGTCTTATAAGTGAAAATGAAGACAACGTCCATAGGAAACCTTAGAGTAGGAAGTCTTAGAATAGAATGTGGGAACGATATGGACATGTCTTTCCGCAGTGTCACTTAATTAATATTTCTCTCAGTGGCTATTGCTTTTCCAAGCAACTTTTCTCATATTTTGTTGAGTTTGAGAATTCATATAAAAACCTATTAGCCTGTAGTTCTCTGCATTTACATGCATCCGGTTTTTCTTTCCCCACCAGTGTTCCACAAGCTGTGGGGAGGGAACCCAGACTCGAAGTGCCATTTGCCGGAAAGTGCTGAAAACCGGAGTCTCAGCTATTGTCAATTCCTCCCTGTGCCCTCCCCTGCCGTTCTCTTCATCCATCAGGCCTTGTATGCTGGCAACCTGTGCAAGTGAGTACCTCAGAGCTGTGGAGATGAGGAGATGGAACCCGCACGGAAGCAGGCTTAGCCACGCAGTAACCTTCCCTAAACCCAGACCGGTGGAAGATTGTTGGGCCCTGGAGGGCAGCAGGCTAGTGAGCTCAGCTGGAGATGGAAAAGGAATCTTAATTACATGTGGCCAGGTGGAATTCTCTTCTCTCCTGCAAAAACGGTTTGCAGGAGGTAGAGCAAAGTTCACTTGCTGGCATACAGAGATCTGGAAGCTGGAGGCAGCCTATCACTAATGAAGTTTAATGTTATCCACTCTGGGGTTTTAAAGTACTCTGAACAGATTCGTTCTCTTTAATACTAATCCCTGGAGTTGTAACACTTCTGGGCTCTCCTCCCTTGTGTATACGAGGGCCCTGATGCTCTGCGGCACCCAAAACATAAACATTGAAAGGGAGACATTCTTTTTTTTTTTTTTTTGTCCTCTGCTTCTTTTTATGATGCTGACTTTTTTTTTTAATCCTTTTAATGAGAGGAACTGCCTTTCCCCTGGGATCCTCCTCCATCTAGAACCCTGCATCTCAGCTTCTAGGGGCAGAAAGACCCAGCAGGATGAGAACAGGTTGCCCTACTGCACCTCATTAGTTTGGTTTTTGATGGTGGCGGCAGCTTGATGGTGCACAGCTGGTAGCCAGTTCCTCCAGTAAAACCTAAGATGGCCGATGAAGGCCTTGACCAAAATAAACTCTGAAGCACTTTTTTCCCCTCTTCTCTCTTTTGTCCCTCCACTCCTCTTTCTCTTCTCTTCTCCCTCTCTTTTTCCCTCTCTCTTGTTGCTGCATCTCTCATTTTTCTTTTCATCCACCTTCCCTTTCATTCCAGGGCCCGGGCGGCCATCCACAAAGCACAGCCCACACATTGCGGCCTCAAGGAAGATATATATCCAGACCCGCAGGCAGAGGAAGCTGCACTTCGTCGTGGGGGGGTTCGCATACTTGCTCCCCAAGACTGCCGTGGTGCTGCGCTGCCCCACGCGGCGCTTCCGCAAGCCCCTCATCACCTGGGAGAAAGACGGCCAGCACCTTATCAGCTCCGCCCATGTCACCGTGGCCCCTTTTGGCTACTTGAAGATCCACCGGCTCAAGCCCTCGGATGCAGGCATCTACACCTGCTCCGCAGGACCAGCCCGGGAGCAGTTTGTGATTAAGCTTATAGGAGGCAATAGGAAGCTCGTGGCCAGGCCCTTGAGCCTGAGGAGCGAGGAGGAGGCCCTCCCAATGAGGAAGGCCAACCCCAAGGAGGCCCTGCAGACCCACAAACACCAGAACGGAATCTTCTCTAATGGCAGCAAGGCTGAGAAGCGGGGCCTCGTTGCTGACCCAGGGAGCCGCTACGATGACTTTGTCTCTCGGCTGCTGGAGCAGGGGGGCTGGCCAGGAGAGCTCCTGGCCTCGTGGGAGGTCCAGGACTCCACAGAAAGGAACACGTCCTCAGAGGAGGACCAGAACGCTGAGCAGGCCCTCCTGCACCTGCCCTTCACCATTGTGACGGAGCAGCAGCGCCTGGACGACATCCTCCAGAACCTCTCCCAGCAGCCCGAGGAGCTTCGCGATGTCTACAGCAAGCACTTGGTGGCCCAGCTGGCCCAGGAGATCTTCCGCAGCCACCTCGAGCACCAGGACATGCTCCTCAAGCCATCTGAGCGGAAGATGCCCCCTGTGGCCATCCCGCCTCATAAACATGTGTCTGGCTTCAGCAGCTCACTCCGGACCTCCTCCTCTGGGGAGGCTGGCGGTGGCTCTCGCAGGCCACACCGCAAGCCCACCATCTTACGGAAGATCTCAGCTGCCCAGCAGCTCTCTGCCTCCGAAGTAGTTACCCACCTTGGGCAGACTGTGGCTCTGGCCAGTGGAACACTGAGTGTGCTTCTGCACTGTGAGGCCATAGGCAACCCCAGACCTACCATCAGCTGGGCCAGGAACGGAGAAGAGGTTCAGTTCAGTGACAGGTAAGCCTTGCAGCTACTTGGTCTAGGAAGGGAACGGGGCAAAGGGCACATCTTATCAAAGGTATGCTATCCACTCTCCCTTCAAGATGTTTTCAAGGGTAGGACTTGAAGCCCTGGGCCTCAGGGGAACATTCTGGGTTTCAAGCCCTCTGTCAGCACTGGTAGACTATTGTAGCAAAGACAAGGTATTTAATGTCTCTAAACTGTATGCTCTCATCTTTATAAGGTATTAGCAATGTCTACCCACCCTGATCACAGTAGGATCCCAAAGATTAATGAGATACTCACTAGATAGCTTTGAATTTTTGGCTGAAAGCTATCGTTTCAGGCCAAGGCATTATTATATTACACTTTGTGAGATGAACCATTATACACCCCAACACTGTCTCCATGTGTGTGGTCCCCAAGGCTGGGGAGAGAGTGCAGCCAGCACCAGCTGCTCCCCGTGGGTAAGCCCACCCTCTGTCTGAGCTGAACAAGGCTGTTTGTTCCAGAAAGCTTTTATTCCTGGTTGACCTGTATTAATTATCCTAATACCTTTTGGTGTCTCTATTTCGATGTGTCATTACTGGGATGACAGCATGTATTACTGACTGGTTTCCTTGGGCCATAGCTATTCATAATGTAAGATCAATAGTGGTAGTAGAGGTAATAATATTTTTTGAACACTACGTATATGCCAAGCACTATGCCCTACTTTCTACGTACATTATCTTTCTTAATCTTAATAGTGGCCATTACAACAACAGTGGTAGCTGGCATTGAGTGCTTTATCTCACCAAATTTTAACAGTAGCCCTGAAAACTGGGTACAATTTTTATCTACACTTTACGGAAGAGGAAACAAAGTCAAATAACTTGTTAAAGTTCTCATTTATTACGTGACAGAGCCAAGATTTATGTGACAAAAATAAAATAGGTAGTCACTTAAACAGTCAGATTATGAAGGGGAGAGGAACTTTTAAGGTCCTCCTGTCCTAAGTCCTCATTTTAACTTTTTATCATCTCTGAACCCATGTAGAATGCTCTCTTTATCAAATATACTTCTAAACACTATTCTTTAACCAATCCTCTTGTCTGGTTTGCTAACTTAGGGTAAGGAAGGAAAGAAGCCAGGATTTATTGTGCCAGGCGGTATGTCAGGTTTATTTCCCTATAACTGTATTTGTTATTCTAACAGTCAATCCACAAGATTGACATTATCCTCCAGCTTTACATAGAAAATCAAAGGTTCAGCAACTCACCCAAGATCACTTTAGTAAGAGCCAGACCAAGGAGTCAATATCAATTATGATCCCAAAGAGTAGCTATATCTACTCCTCTGTGACTTGATAAACAAAGCTGACATCATCCATCCTACCCACATCTTTTGTGCCTTTAAATCGTCAGTAATATAGCCATTCAGTCTAGTACTAACAGACTAAATAGCTTGTTAACAGTGCCAAGTATTTTTCTGTGTGCTCTTACTGCATGCCAGACACTGTGCTCAGTGCTTCAAAGGCATTATCTTATTTAATCGTGTGTGTGTATGTACATATATATAAGCTTCAAAGGCATTATCTTATTTAATCGTGTGTGTGTGTGTACATATATATATAAGTGTGTGTGTGTGTGTCTGTGTGTGTAAAACCTACGTGTGCGTGCGTGCGTGCGTGCGTGTGTGTGTGTAAAACCTATGGGGTAAGTACTATTATTGCTACCAAATCATTGATCAGAAAGCTGAGTCACAGATGTTGGACCCACACAGAAGCACCGGAGACAGGATTTTAATGCAGGTGGTATGGCTTTAACAGCCTGTGCTCCTAACTTCTCCACTGGTTTGCCCCTTGCTCATACTTTCCTTGATCAGCTCAACTGCTATGATGCCTGCAGTTCTTTCCAGAAAACTTTATAACAAATTTGTGAGTCCAGCCAAATTTGCAGCAAATCCCCTTAAGGCCTCTGGGTCACTGAGAGGCAGCTCCAGTGTCAGGCCCCCAGGATGATGGATGCCAGCTGAGAGTGGTGCCCTGACACTCAGGAGGATGGTACACTGGAACTCACTTCTATCAGTGCACCTGTTCCCAAGTCATGTCATCTCCTCCACCAGCATAGGTACCATTTCAAGCCTGGTACACTGGAACTCACTTCTATCAGTGCACCTGTCACACCTATTGTTCCCAAGTCACGTCATCTCCTCCACCAGCATAGGTACCAATTCAAGCACAGGTACCATTTCAGTTATAACCCTTGGGCCTATTGCCTTGGATTGGTACCCTCGGGTTGGAGGTTGTAGCAGTTGGCTGTGCGAGGGAAACATGGGGATTAACCTTTCTTGACTAACTACATACACTGCACCCCAGGCTAGCAACTGTCCCAGCCACCATCTTTGTTAATATCCACCACAAGGTGTGACATGTTTCAGAGATGAGGAGACATTGCTCATAGGAGTTAAGGAACCTGACAATATTAGATAGCTAGTAAAAGACAGAATCAAGAGGGCAGATTCAAACCCAGTTCTGCCCAACTCAAGGTCATGCTGTTTGACAGAATGGATAGCTTTATGCTTCTATATATGTACACTTCACTAGGGATCCCAAGTTGCCTCAAGGCCCTTGCTGCTTTCTACCAGTTAGCTCCAGGGTCTCTTCCTTTGAATAGCACTTACTTCCTTCCAAAAAGCAGTAGAAGGAGACAAGCTGCTGGGAGGGGAAGAGGTCATCAGGACTGTTGTGCCTGGAACTGCAGGGAAAACACTGAGGCCAGGGCTTACTCAGAGGTCCTGCAATTTCCTTGAGTGCTGGAGATATTTTAAAGGACTTTTTGAAAAATTTAATGATTTTTTTTTTTAATGAAATCCAAGGGTCATGGCCCATTAGGCCACCTGGTGACTACAAGAAAGATGTGGAAGGAGATAGGTTAGAATTGAGGGCTTCAAGCTGACCTTGCCAATGCCCTTCTCTTTTCATGACTTAGTCCCTTCATTTCAAAAGGGAGAGGTTTGTCCCAGATCATCTCTGAAGTCCCTTCTACCTCCTTCACTCATTTATAGAAGGTCACAGAAGGTGAAAATCCATATGCTGACAGGGAGCAGGGAGAGCCTTGAGTGCAGTAACTTCAAAATTTGTTGGACAAGTTGTTTCTGAGTGTTCCACAAAACAGGGGTCTATTGATCATATGACTTAGGGACATGCTCATTTAAAGCTAAACAGATGTATTTACTGCTGGATTTTACTTCTATTTTTTAATATAGTGCTTGTTTTTTTTATTATAAAAGTAATAAAGGGGCTATAAAACATTTCAAATAATACCTAAATCTATAAAGTATAAATGTAAGTCTCCCTCAGCCCCCCAATCCTATTCCCCAGAGGCTGTCACTCTTAATAATTTGGTATACATCCTTATGGAATTTTTATTTTATTGTATTATGTATAAAACACACATACACACATAGGCTTTGGGTTTTTTAAACAAGACATTAGTCATGTGTAGAAATTTGATTTGGTTTTTATTCAACATGTCTAGGAGGCATTTCAGAATAATATGTAGAAATCTAGATCACCTATTTTCACAGCTGATTACTGTTCTTGAATGTATTTAACTATCCCCCAATTGAAAATTATTTTGGTTTTTCCATTTTTTTTTAACTCTTGTAAGTATTCCAACAACTTTCCAAGTAGGCAATATAGTACTCAGTGTTTTCCAAGTACTTCTTTGATCAATGAATAATTTTTTGGCCTAGTAATCTCAGGGATACCAATAATTCTTGAAATACCACTTAGAAACACTACTTTCACCTTTTAATTTTCACCTTAATGGGCATTGAGAGTCTAACCCTAATGGTTTTCAGATAAAAGGTTTCAGCAGAATCTTGCTAGAAAAAGACATATGGCAGCCAGGCGCTCAAAATACTGAAGGTGCTAGATTTAGGCCAGCAGAGGACAAATTCTGGATCTTCAGTCACCAGGACATGGGTGGGAGTGGAAGTGGGGAGCATTAAGAGAGAAAGCACATGAGGGGCATAGGCAAATCATTGTACAGTTTTTGCCACTGTCAAGATTTTTTCTATATCTAGCCTTGACCTTTTTAATGTGAATTAATGGCATGCAGTAAGGAAAAATAAGGGATTTCTGTTTCTGATCTTTGACATCATAATTTTTCCACTTTACTTAGATGGCCAGTAAGAAATATGGCTTGAGTTTAGTTTCTATATAGTTTTCCAACGACTTTTTGAGAAAAGAAAGAGAATGTATCTGCACAGAGCATGCAAGAGGCACAGAACTGGCATGGGAACTGCTTTGCTCTAGGCTGCTGGTGACCTCTTTTGTGTTAGGTTTTATCGTCTGTCATCATTACTGTGTCTGGTTCAGAAATGCTCATTTATTTTCAAACGGAAGTGCTGAAATGCCCGATAGTTATAGTTCAGTTAGCCTGTTTTTGCTTAGTACCCAAGTCTATCTTTTTGAAAGTCTGTGAGATTCGGCTGGCTGTTGGTTGGTAGCACTTCACAGCATATTCAGGTATACTTTAAACAGTCCGAGCCAGCAAGATAGGTCAAGGGAGGAGGAAAGGGACTGAGAAAAATCTATTACTTTGGCTTTTAAATATGCCAATGCTCGATGTGAAAGAAATTAGTTTTCTGAAAGAATAACCAACAATTTAGATACTATTACATGCCATTATCCGTATAATTTACTAATTGAAATGAATTCACTTGCTTCTTAAAAACACACATGAACTTCTAAAGCAATACAAGTTTTGGCTCAAGTTTACAGGATGTCCCTGAGTATATTATGACAGACTACTTCATCATAATCCCTACTTCTTTATTTCACAAACATTCCCATGCTTACTCTGAGCCAGACCCTTTGTGAGATACTAGGGATAGAGGAAAAGACTCATTCCCTGTCAATGAAACTTAAAGCCTGGTTTAGAAGCCAGAGAAGTAAATGCAGTGTTTAAGTGCTAAGAGAGGGCTATGCATATTTATTTGTCCCATAAGTATTTATTAATCCACCTATT